CTAAGTGATTTCTTTGTGTAGATCTCTGTGGGGGCCAAGAAACAAGTCGCTCTCCTAATATTAGGTTAACAGGTACTTGCAGCTTTAGTGGAAACTCCAGTGATAGCATCATGCCCGGATTCCAAAAGTACGATATTTCAGATAACTTAAAATTAAAGATGGTGTGCTCTGGAAAATAGATTTTGATATGGTGACAATGTTTGTATTTAGCGAATAAATTTTACTTTACGAACTAGTAGCCTTAATGCCGCAGGGAATTATTTACAATCATAGGAACCTTCTCAGGAGGTATTACGTGACACTAACACCTGGAAACAAGAGCCATCATTATTGTTATTAATTTTAAATATCTTGCAGGAAATTGGTGGAATTAGTATGGTTGTTTAGTTTGAAAGCTATTCCAAAATATACCAGCAGATGGAGGGATTCTTTGCTAAAAAGGGCTAAAGTCTTTTGCTAACAAGGTGTTGTTGAAAGTCCAGCAGTAGCTTTTAGAAGCTCCATATTAAAGCATGGAAGAAGCAGATAAAGATATAACCTTTCCTGAGTTTCAGCGATTTTCAGAATAGTTCCAGAAGAGAGGTAATATGAATTAACTGATAATATGAAAAAAAAATGAATGTTGCATTTGTTCTTGCTTGATCTTTCTTCAGCCTAAGAATCTTGTACAGCTTTAAGTTCACAGTTACTAATTTTCTATTGGAGTACAGTTAGGCCCAAGAATTGAATTTTGTTTAATCTTCCATTGTAAAGCTCAGATAAGGAGCCTCAAAACTAAGGTATTTATTTGTGTGTTTTAGATCATGACTTATTTGGAAAGGGGCTTTTTCGGTCTAACCGAGGGTTTTTAGTCTTAGCACTCCTGGGGGCAAAATGTTGTTATTGTGATGGATGCAGTTTTTCTGCTACCTTCTAGATGTTCTGAGAAAATCTGGAAAATTGGGGTAGCCGGTACACCACCAATTTTGTGAATTGACTAATAATTGCTTTTGATTACAGATGGGCGTTCAGTTATTATTTTTTTTAAAAGAACTCTAGCGAAGAGTAAAAGTATGATTTTTTCATGGGATTTTCTTCTTCCATGCCACACATTTCATTTGTATGTAAAGATGTCAAAGGCTTCCTTAAACCTTACCTGGGTAGTCAAGCCCCCTGGGCCTCATCATGTGTAACATCTTAGAAAAATTAGGTTCCGATTTTCAGTATTTTCTCTTAACAGAGTTATTTTTTTTTAATCTTCATTTTACTAAGTAGTCTAAAGCAAACTTTGAGTTTATTAGACTACATACGTTTCAACCCATTTGACTTCGACTCGGGAAATGTTCCACTATTAAAATAATATAAAATCAATAGTCTTTCCTAATTCTCTAGGATAAATCATTATTCACTGTGAGCTTCAGCTATTTGGGGAGTCTTTATTTCTGCTGTGGTAAGCCTTGATTCATTTTGCCCGATGCAGTCAGTGTTCTTCTCTTCTGTTAAAGAACATGACTATATCCGTAGTGTGCTAAATAAGAAGGGCTTTTTCTTTTCTTTTCTTTTCTATTTTTTTTTTTTTTTTTTTTAGGGCTGCTTACTTTTTGGTTGAGGTTCTATGGAAGCATGTTTCTTCCACCTTAAAGCGCATAGAAAAATAGCTTTGAAGTAATGGCTTGAAGAAGTATTCTGAGCTTTGGTTAAACAAAGATCATCCCATTTTAGCACCACGCCCGTATCTGTAAAATTGTTTTACAGTAGCATCATCTCTTTCTGTTTTAGGTGAAATGGAAACAGAAAGCCAGCCCAAGAGGCTCTTCCAAGGCACTACCAATATGCTGTCTCCGGAGGCTGCACAACTGTCTGATCTCAGTTCATGGTAAAAAATGAAATAAAATCGAAAAGATGTTAGGGTATGATCTATTTAAAAAGAGCCACATTAAAAGTACATTGGGATCATTTATAATAATATTCAACTTTTGATTCATGCTCTGTAGAAGGGAAATCTCCATGGAGGTACAGATACCGTGGAAAACCAGATCATTTGAAAGGCATTGAGTACTTTTTTGGGAATGTGTGTTTCTTCTCGGCACCTTCATTCCTAGCTCCTGTCAGGTCAGCCTCTCTCAGTGGGTGCTAATGGTGCGGGGGAGGGGCAGCAGCTGGCTGGCAGGAGAAAGTGTTCCTGGGTCGCTGTGGACAGTGTGCATCGATCGTGGCTGTTTTGCCACGTTTTGTAGTATATTCTTTTAACTGAGCAGAGAATACCGGCATCCTCTTAAGCATGGTGTTTTCTAAATAGCATTTCCTGTTGTTATAAAAATCTTTTGGAAATTTTGGAGGTATTCTGTCATAATCCTAACTGAGGTTTTGTTGTATACCAATACTTCCTGACTCCTGTGGTCTGTTCACATAATTTCTTTTAGTCTTACTCATCCAAGTTTGGGTGTCTAACTTAAGACCCTTCAGTGTTTTTGTGCAACAGTCAACTTCTCTTCATCTACCTGAAGTTGAGTACTTGGATGCTGATGTACATATTGGAAGGCAGGGGAAGGGATAGTGGCAGTGGCCAGGTAATATGTTGAAATCTTTTAGCATGTATTTCTAATCAACTCACTGAGCACCTGTGTTCTAGACACAGTTGTGTCTAGACTTTTTGTTTGGCACCTTTTGTCAGGATTCTGAGTTTATAGCTGAGGGTCTTTTTTTTTTTAAGAGCCCAACAGTACATTCACTTCCAAAAAAAAAAAGGATGGAAATACTTATTTAAAAAGGGGGGGATTGGACGCATGGGTGGCTCAGTCAGTTAAGCGTCCGACTCTTGATTTTGGCTCAGGTCATGATTTCACAGTTTGTGAGTTGAAGCCCCGCATTAGGCTTTGTGCTGACAGCAGGGAGCCTCCTTGGGATTTTCTTTTTCTGCCCCTCACACACTTGCGTGTGCATATTGTCTCTCTCTCTCTCTCTCTCTCTCTCTCAAATAAAATAAATAAACACTTATACAAAAATAGAAGGACGGTGCCCTCTAAATGGAAGAATTGTGTAATCTACTTATAAGGTATAAGGATTAGCGATTCTTTCTTTCCAAATCAGATACTTGTTTTATGTAAGATAACCTGTACTTCTAGTTGACCAAGAAGTCACAGATTATTCTAGTTTATTAGACTCGTCGATCAGTGCCGTTCTAATGTTGGAACAGATGTCTTTTAGATTGTTCTAGCTATTTTCAGCCCCACAGTCTCTCTTCTCTCTCATATGTGTCTGTCCTTGATGGCTCAGTGTGCTAATTTCGGTATAGAGTGCTTTTCCAGGTATGTAGATGATTGCAAAGAGAAAACTTCTAAAGCTTGTCAACAGGACTAGTGGATGAAACTCTATACTTAGTGGAAACTGCCTATCACTTTTATGGTAAAGTGTGTTTTAATATAGGCACATGACATTATAAATAGCTTTGCTTACCCAGTTACTAACCAAGCAACCAAGTTAGGGAAAAGATACGAAAGCATTTTGCCGAGCTGAAAACATACAGGGTGCGGTGGAGTTTTTAAATATTGTCATGGACTCTACAGGATGCCATAAAACAGGTTCACACAAATAAAAAGGGGAAGAGAGGGTATTTGCCAAGGGTCCCTACCTCTCCTTCAGACGTTTATTCCTCTGAGCAGCAAAATGTACGTTGTCGACCATGGTGGCTGCGGTGAGGGTCCTATTTCTGTCCTATTTCTGTTGCCACTACGCTCATTCTCCTCCGACCTGTGACTAGCTATGAGAGCCCTGGGGACACTGACATTGGCGATCAAGGGCACTTTGATCCCTAAAGGCAAAAAGTGTTGCTTCACCCTGGAAAGATTTGTTTTATTCACATGAGACCAGTCATCGAGCAGTAACAAGCCAACATGTGGCTCAAATAATATGTTAAAAAGAAATTTATTGCTCAAAACTCACACAACTAAGTGTGAAAGGTATGTAAGTAATTAAGCTTTAAAAGATGTTTTTAGTAAGTTCATGGCATCTGGACTTCTGAGAATATTAAAACTTAAAATTGCACTGACTTTTGGGACCCCTTGTATACTAGTGTTGCTGACATGTAGGCCTGCAATGAAGAGATTTTAAACATGAGTTATTCATGATATGTAAAAATTAGATCCTGCCTTTGCAGAAACTGTTTTTCCTGTCTCTCTAATGCAGTTTCATTGATCAGACATCCGTATTCTTAGAAACGGGGACAGAGACGGAGACTGTGTTCTGGTTTCTGTTGCCAAGGGTAACAGTATACTTGATCGCTGAGGAAACCATATTTATATATTTTAGGGAGCAGAAAAGGTACCACCAGATCATAAATAGATGTTATCTCATCATTTAAGTTATTGTAATTTGTTCTCTGCCCCACCCCATAAAGAAGAGATGGGTTTTAAAACTTTAAGTTAAACTTTATTTTTTTTTAATATAATTTATTGTCAAATTGGCTGACATACAGTGTGTACATGTGCTCTTGGTTTTGGGGGTAGATTCCCGTGATTCATCGCTTGCATACAACACCCAGTGCTCATCCCAACAAGTGTCCTCCTCAATGTAAATTAAGCTTTATATATCAGATAATAGTCTTTAAAATCTGATGTCTGAAGTGTAAATTAAGTGTGAAGTTTGAGTATGGACCCATTTGGGGTTTGTGTCCGGTGTGTTAACTGCCACGCAAAGGAATAGTAGGCCTGCTCTTCGTATCATATTTTTTACTAGATGAAAATTCTGAAATCTTTGCCAACCAAATCTGGGGAGCATTGTTAACCACAAGGCAGGAATTCTGTCATTCTGGATTTAGTCCTTCTGAACATCAAGAATTTTTTTTAACATTTTTATTTATTTTTGAGAGGCAGAGACCGAGCACAAGCCAGGGAGGGACAGAGAGAGAGAGAGGGAGACACAGAATCCGAAGCAGGCTGCAGCCTCTTGAGCTGTCAGCACAGAGCCCGTCGCAGGGCTCGAACCCACCAACTGTGAGATCATGACCTGAGCTGAAGTCGGACGCTCAACCGACTGAGCCACCCCGGCGCCCCTGAACATCAAGAATTTGACGATAGCTTGGAAGTTCACTTTCCATGGTGCTTTGATTCTTTTTGTGTCTTGAGAACTCTTGTTCTGCTCCTTGTCCTTTTGGGGACAAGATTATCTGTGGCACGTTACATAAAGGAATTTTGAGGGCCACCAGTCATATAGTGAAGATTAAGTGGTAGTCTGTTTCTCGCACAGAAAAGGACAAGTTCTCCCATGAAAATTTTCCCTGCTGCATCAGTGTTATTGTGACTGCTAATTTAGCCTTTATAGTTTTATTTTAACATTTTTCATTAGATTTCACTTAGTGACTTTAACATTATTTTTAATGGTATATGTGTCATGGCAAGAAAATTTAATCATGAATATGTGATATGTGCAAAGAATAAGACTTAATCATGATTTATTTTATAACAACTGTATTCGTATACTTCGAACATGGTTATGTGAGCAGCTTAGACATCTGTGCTGATACATTAAAGTTCCTATCCCCAAGGTGACTGGGGAAATGATAATATTTAAATGTGTGATCTTAAAAACTTAGAAGTTATGCAGAAAGATAATGCTGGGTCTTCTTCAGGTGAGACGGTAGAGACCAGAGAATGTACCCTAGGGACCAGTTTAACCCACACCAAGGGGTAGGGGATGCCCTGTAAGTCTTAGCTTATACCAGGATCTGTGCTGGGGTTGGTAGAGCTGTGGCTTATTTCTAGTGCATTTACCTGCCTGCCAAATCTAATCTGATAGAATCCAGTTTATTGACCGCACAAGGCACCAAGTGGCTGACCCAGATGGATAATAGTGTGAGACACGCTGGACATCCTGATTTTGTTGTTACCTTATTATTTGAATGTTTTAATGATTCTCTTATGCTTTCACCCTTATTTTTTTAGGCAGAGGGCACTACCATAATAATTATAAGCATTTTTGTGTGATTTAGATATTGCGTCAATATGTATACACCATGGCTAGAATGAATTAGAATTCGTTCACTGTTTTTAATGTTTATTTTTGAGAGAGAGTACGAGCAGGGGAGGGGCAGAGAGAGAGAGGAAGACACAGAATCCGCAGCAGGCTCCAGGCTCTGAGCTGTCTGCACAGAGCCCGACAGGGGGCTCAAACCCACAAACCGTGAGATCGTGACCTGAGCCGAAGTCAGATGCTCGGCCGACTGAGCCACGCAGGCACCCCATCGTTCACTTTTGATTTGTTACCCCTATGTCCAGTTTGAACTGTCTAGGTCCTCTGCTTTCCTTGCATTGTCTGGCTTTCAGCCATTAGTCTGAGGCTCATTAACACCTCCATCAGAGCTTAAGCAAGGAGGGGAAAAAGATAAACTCAAATTGGACCATATGTTGTTGCTTTTAGAAGGCCTGGTAGAAGGTTTAATAGTGAACACTATGAAAGTCACTTTTGTTCAGTGATCTATGAATAAAAAAATCACGTAAGTCTTGCTTTACATGGATATACTGTGGGTAGTTTGTGACTGTTGGATAGAACGGGTTTTAGTTTTGTGAAAATATCTGGAGTAAATTCTACTGGAGGCTAGATGGAGGTATGCTATTGTACTATAAAGGAACAAGGTTTTATGCATGTTCGTATTTAAGAATAGAGAAGAAATTCCTGAAAAGGAATAAACGAAACGAAAAATTCAGATTTGTATTCTTTTTCTCTTGGTAACTTCTTGGTAACTTCCCTGTTAGCTTATTTCTCTTAAGGTAATCAGTGGTGTTAGGTGAGAGCTCTGTCTGCATGAGTCATGTTCTGTGTTTTTGAATGAATGCAGGATTCACCTAAGCAAGCAGGTCTTATTACGAATGGAATCTTTTAACCCAGGCCTCACCATAAGTCTGGTGGCTGGAATAAGAAAGTCTTTATTTATATTCAGATTATCTGCTTGGTGGCCAAATTTTAATCTAAGTCTGTTTTTTCCTGCCAAGTAGCACAGAGCGTGTCCTTCGGCTGCCCGGCCAATATGTGCTTTAGGAAAGTAAATTCATTTTAATATTAGTCTAGGCAAAATGCTGCAGGAGGAAAAATCACATATGTTCCAAAGGCAAATATAAAGGCCTTTTGATTTTCCAATGTCTTAGATTATCTGTGTAACTTTCTTTCAGTACTTTGAATAATTCATATTTTAGACCTATTTTCCCATTGGGTTGAAAAAATATCAGAGCCAGCTAAATTTTCCGAACTTCTTACTTAAAAGTGGTATTATTAATGATGCATTTCACAGCAGTGAGCATAGACTGGGAGTACTGTGGACTATACTGTTTCCATTTTTATTTTTGCTTTTCCGAAGCTTATTTGTATTCTGTCTCCACCTAAAAACAATCCACAGGCAATAGAAATGACATTTTGAAGAAAAATAGCGGAGAAGTGTGTGGAGGGGAATGTTACATGTTGTTGAGGTGGGGGAGGTATAGGGCCCAGAAACTTCCAAATGTACCATGGGTTAACACTGGAACTACATTAACTTGGAAATTCATAAAAATGATGTTAAATGCTCTTTTTTTTTAAAAAAAAATTTTTTTAGTGTTTATTTTTGAGAAAGAGAGAAAAATAGAGAGCGAGCGAGCGAGGGGCAGAGAGAGAGGGGACAGAATCCGAAGCAGGCTCCAGGCTCTGAGCTGTCAGCACAGAGCCCGACGTGGGGCTCAAATTTGCAAACCGCGAGATCATGACCTGAGCCGAAGTCGGACACTTACCGACTGAGCCACCCAGGCGCCCCGATATTAAGTACTCTTAATATTGAGCCTCAGAGGGGCGCCTGGGTGGCGCAGTCGGTTGAGCGTCTGACTTCA